GTAGATTAGCTTGGCAGGGTCTCAGGGGAGGTGTGAGGAGCAGGGCTCCTGTACGGGGAGTATTCTTTAACTGGGCTTCAGTACCCCGAGTAGACAGGTCTGAGGAAGAGTTGTCACAGGCTGGGAGAGGTGGAGAGCCAGCAGAGCAGACAGGGCAGGCTTGGGGACAGCCAGTGGGACAGAGACAAGAACAATTCGATGCTGCAAGGGTCCTAAAGATGAAGCAGGTGATTTTGGGGTGGGAGGGAGATGGGGGATCCTTGCAGACTTCCTCAGCACTGCCCAGAGCTGCCTCTTTGCACGTCAGGTCAGGTTCTCCTCACAGCCTGTGTATAAAGCAGCCCATGAAGACTGGACAGTTCCCCAGGACCCCTACGGACATGGGTCAGGAAAAAATCTATTTCTTCCTTTTTTTTTTTTCTTCATTTCAAATTTTAATCACATTGGCTGGGAGCCTGGCATAAGGCAATGCAGTGAATCACTGGCCTGGATCTGCTCAGCACTCAGGACGGCCGTTCCCACGGCCTCCCACTCGTCTGTGTTTCTCAACCTTCCCCGTGGGGGATGCTGTCCTCAGAGAGAAAAACAAAATCTGGGACTGGAGAACAGGGAAGAGCTCACAGTGGTGATGCTCCAGCCCGGGTCCCTTCTGTGTTTAAGCAGAGGAGTCGAGAAATGCAAGGGGTAAAGGAGGTGTGAGGGGCCAGGTGTGGTGGAAGGAGCCCTCCGAGTTGTGTTCAGGTGAAATTGCCCCTGAAGTCAGTTCCACATTTCAGCCCCTGGCAGTCCTGCCAACACAGGCTGCCCCTGGCACCACGGGAGCGGGCAGAGGGGGCCCTGGGGCCGATGGGCACCTGCCCAGGCCACGGAGGGCAGAAACATGGCTGTAATTGAAACAAGAAGTTCCATCCCTATCTTCCAGGGCATTTGCAGCTTTATGGCAGTGAGCAGTCTCTCTGCTGTGTGATCTGTAGGCAGCCCTTAGAACTGGTTTAAGAATCTTTTCTCTTGGGTATCTATTTTTTTCTCTCAGCCTACCACGGGGTTTTGTAAAATCACATCCCAAGTGTGAATAATTTGCCAGTGTTCCTTGTAAAATGTACATCTGTCTGTTCTTAGGCATGGGAAACCCTCTGAAGTGGAGCTGCAGAGCAGGGGGCAGGTATTGTACAGCTGGCAGAGCACAGGGCTGTGGGCAGTAACAGCAGCCTGGGGATTCCTTCTTCTGTAAGATCATCCTGTGCAGGTGGGTGCTGCCTCCAGCCTCATGGGTTTCTGTTTCAGTACAGCCAGGTGCTGTCACAGGTAGGGCTGGCCTCTCACCGTGCTTTAACCTGCTCCTCACCCCACGGGTGCCCTGGCAGCAGCTCTCAGCGGGTGTTCAGCTGGGGGAATGCAGCCACCAACCTCTGAGTTCTGCATTTGGGGGGACTGGGTGCTGAGAGCTGAAAATTTCCATCTTTAAATCCCATGATAAAAAGTTTCATAATGCATTTTAGTGACTCTTAAGGAAGACATTTTTTTTTTAAAGACACTTCCTAGGGAACAGTCAGTTCCTTAAACCCACCCTCACATCCCCTGGTAGAAGCTGACAGCAGAGACAAGCAGCTTTCTGCCTGTTCACTCTCCCACTGCAGGGGCCAGCAGCGCATTGCTCCAGGTACCATGTTCCTCAAAGTTCTGCCCAGTTAGTCTTAAGTGGAGAATCTGTCACTGCCCACTTGTGGGTTTATAACCTGCCAGGTGTTGTGCAGTCACAGGCAGAGCTCAGTGTTGGTAACTGACTCGAGCAGAACGTTGGCCAGAGGGAGTTCCTCCCACACACGACTTCAGGTTGCATCAGAGAGAAGCAAAGATTTATTAGCTTTTTTTTTTTTTTTTAAAGAATACCAATCACGGTGGAGATTAACTGGGGTAGCAGTGATCAGGCACAGCAACTCAGATGGCAGAAGCAGGCAGGGCACCCAGAGGGTTCTGGGGAGCCCCTGCAGTGGCAGAGGGGTAGCTGGAGGCAGCGTTGGCTCTGGCCCGTGGCGGAGGCGGCTGGACCTGCTCAGGGAGCTCTGCCCTGCCCAAGGGCACTGCTGGGCTCCTGCAGGGGAGGGTGCTGCTTGGGCCCATCACTCCTCAGACCTTCTGAAGCTCCCTGTGGAAAGATGAAGGGAAGCAAGAACTTCTCTGAAGAAGTGTTGTCTCATCCAGCATTTTTATCTTTTTATTACTTAATAATTACAGACTGTGCAGTTCTCAGCCTGTGCTGTGTTCTTGCTTTCTATATTGGTGCCTTCAGGCCTACTATAGCCAGTATAGTATAGTATAGTATAGTACAGTACAGTACAGTATAGTACAGTACAGTACAGTACAGTATAGCTCTGAGGACCAACTGTCAGCCTGGGATGGAAACCAGCATCTTTGGGAGACAGACCACGTCTCTAACTAAGACAATAACCCTGTTACTTCCTGGGTAAGAATAAATAAAAAGAAGCCTCAAAGCAGGATCATTTTCCATTTTTTCATAAAAAATAAGAAATGGAAGAGTATCTTTCTACAAACTATAACTTCCTGCTCATTTTCAACAGTTCAGGCATTTATCTGAGGTGCTCTTGGGACCTGGAGCCTTACCCGATCTCATCGTTTTTATGGCTTCGGACACTTCCTCCATGGTTGCTCCTCTCTCCAGTGTTCTGTTCCCTTCCAGGCAGAGCTTCATGTTTTCACCATCTCCTGGAACCACAGCCATGGAGACCTTTTGGTCATTCCCCATCTTTTGCTGCTTCAGGATTTTATCACCCCTTACATTTTAAATTTCTTGGCTGTTCCAACTATTTTACCCTGCTTTAACCATTTTCCCGGTTAATACCAGTTATATTTCCAACATATGGCTTCATTCCAGAAGTATGGACTTCTCTAGTTCCCTGCAGGCTTTAGATTGGGCATTATTTTAGCTTTTCCAATTCATTTTCTCTTTCTACACATCCTGATACAACTCCTCATAACACCCTGTTCCTTCCAGTGGCTTGTGAAAACACAACTGTGTTGATGTGTTACTGGATAAGAACAAGAGTCAGAGTGAACTTAAAAGATAGTTGGGGAAAAGTAGAAAAAATAACTCCAGCTTTCCAAAGGAAGGAAGTTGTCACATCCTTTCCTACTATTCAGAGAGAAAAGTGAATGGGAAGATGTATTTTGATTTCAGTTTTTACCTTGGCTTTCACAAGAGCTGCCAGACTGGGACTGGGCAGATGAAGAGCGGGAGAGGCAGGATTTGCCCCCTCCTCCTCCTCCTCCACCACTGCCACCTCCTCCACCTGAGGTTTTGCCACCTCCTGTTCCTCCTCCACTCCCTCCTCCTCCACCTCCAGAAGAGGAAGTTCTTCCATAGGATCCTCCAGTTTTTCCTCCACCTGAGGACCAACCACTTCCTCCTCCACTGCTCCCTCTTCCAGAAGACCAGCTAGTTCCTCCATGACCTCCTCCTCCTGAAGATCCACCACCAGCTCCTCCCTGCGAGATGCTGTAAGGAGGGAAGGGTGTGTGTGAGATTCACAGCAGCATGGCCAGTGTCTGGCATCCTCTCGGCTGTGTTGAGGCCACTTTGTGACTCCCTCTGAGCTCCTCGTATGACTGAGAAAGGACTATTGTGTGAAACATGTTCTAGAGAACTGAAACTATCCTAATTAAGGACAAAATAAGTGATCTGCATAAAAAAAAAAAGAAAAAATAACAGGTGTCTCTAGAAGTCTTTCAGAATAGGACCTTGAGTGTTTATAAGAGCCAGTTGTTTTCATGCTCACATTTCATTTTCATACATGACTGTACTCAGGAGAAATGGCAAATTACAGTTCTAAGTGCTTTTATAAAGGCTTTTGTCCAGTTCATAATGAGTATAGATTAATACAACTTGGTACCCTGCCAGCTGTTAGTGTCCATATGGAATTCTTGTGCTCGTAGTAAATATGTTGATGATTAATTAGCTGAAATAATTACTTCTATAAATACTGATACTTCCATCTTCACCTCTTTGCAAAGATGGCACGTTAATGAACCTGAAGGTACGTACCCAATGTCCTGCTGCCCCTCCTGCAGCAGAGCCCGGTACTGAGCGATCTCCTGCTCCAGGCGGGTCTTGATGCCCAGGAGCATCTTGTACTCCTGGTTCTGACTCTCCATCTCGCAGCGGATGCTGGCCAGCTCCTCCTCCAAGGGGCTGATCAGGTTCTGGATCTGCTGCAGCTGCATGCTGTAGCGACGCTCGGTGTCGTCCAGGTTGGATCGCAGAGACTGTCCCTGAGAATGAAAGAAAAAATGTGGGGTTTGTGGGAGTGTGGCACACGGTGGGAATGTGGCAGGATGAGATCATTCTTATGCTCAGCATGAGAAAACTCTCACATATGATGTTGGATGCACCAAACACCTTCATTACTGGAGTGTGAGCTCCAGCTGGTCTCCTGCCACCCCAGAGCTCCCGTGTGCTTTGTGTGCCAGCGGACGCGCGGGCACCGTGCCCTACCGTGCTGATCTGGGCCTGCAGCTCGATTTCCAGGCCCTGATAGTCACGTCTCAGCTCAGAGATCTTCTGGTTACTCGATTCCACTTCCTGGCCACTCGAGTGGACTTGTTGACTCACTTCCTCCATCTGAAAAGTTAATACACAGGACTGGAGTTTTCGCGTTTAACTCACAGTGTCAGCACGAGGATTTATCAACACAAGTTGAAGCAAGGCCACCTGGAATATGGGGCTGTTTAAACTGGCTTGTGTGGCTCTGCCAGTGCAGCTCAAGCCCACTTGTAATTTCCCTTATTTAAATCAAAGGGATTCTACTGTTATATCCTAAAACCAGCGGATGCTGTTGTTGCAAGTATCATTCATCTACAGAAAGTTCTTACCAAAAGTTGGTATTGTTTTTTCTTTTGTAATGTGAACATTCAAACTTTAACCACTTACCTTGATTCCATACCACTTTTCAACCTCTTCACGGTTTTTCTGAATAATATTTTCATATTCTTGTCTCATATCATTCAGTTTCTTCAGCAGATCCTCTCCTGGAGCAGCGTTCACCTCCACGTTCACGTCACCACTGGACTGTGTTTGAAGGGATTTCATTTCCTGCCAAATAAACCCAGGCCCAGGGCAAACAAAAATGGTGAAATTACTTTGCAAAAGAGTTTTGAAGTCAGTTTACTTGACATCATAAACCATCCTGGAACCTTTCAACTATACATATATACACACACACAGAGATATATACATATATACATAGTGGTGGTGTTTTCTTTGTTGCAGTTATTTGGCCTTGACTTCCCAGTCCCTGTTTGTTGAGGGGACTGTGCTCAGAGCAGCCCTGGCACGGCCAGGGCCTGGTGCTCAGCCTGTCCCCTCGTGCCAAGCTGCCCCACGTGAGGAGAGCAGGGAAGAGAGTTTAGTGCAGAGAAGTTTTCTGTGAAACCTGCCCCAGCTGCAGTAGTGCCACTGTTGTGGTTCCCCGCTGCCGTTGGCGTTTCAAGGAGCTGGCTCTTACCTCCTCGTGGTTCTTCTTGAGGTCAATCATCTCCACCTTCAGCGACTCAAACTGCGCTTCCAGGTCAGCCCTGCTGAGGGTCAGGCTGTCCAGCAGGGGCCGCAGGCTGTTGATGTCGCCCTCCACGTTCTGCCGCAGGCCGCGCTCCGTCTCGTACCTGTGTGGGGTGGGCAGAGGGTCAGCCCTGCCCTGGGGTCCTCCCCCTTCTGCTGATTTACTTGGGAAAAAGGGGCCCTGTGCCAGCAGCTCAGTGTCTGCGTTTGTGCCCGTACCTCCTGGCACACAGCACCTCTCAACCGGCAGCCTGTACTTAAAGGTTAATATTAATATTAAATTAACACTAAGATGTGTTCTGTGGTCTTTTTCATTGTCTCTTCTTACTGTACACATTGTGCAGATTTCATCCCTCTGTTTTATCTGACCTGCAGTGACAGATAATAATAATTTTTCTTTCCTTAAAAATAAAGCTTTTTTAAGGTTTGACTCCACAGCTGCTGAAGATCGTTACAGAAAGAATTTTAAAGTCTTACAGATTGTTTCAGTTTTGCTGCCAGGGAAGCAGGAGGAACCCTGGTCTCTGTGGACTGGTATTTCTTTATGGAATGAACGTATGAAATTAATTTGAGGAAAGTAGGAGAAAGGAAGTCAGTGCCTGGAGAAGAGGGCCATATATTTACTTTATCCTGAAGTCTTCTGCAGTCATCTTTGTGTTATCCAGGTCCAAAAGTACCTTGTTGGTTTCCACAGCTGCAGTCACAATCTAGAAGAGAAAACAGTGTGCTGAGGAATATTTTTTGTTCTCTGGTTGGGGAGATCTGGATGCATGCACGGAAAGCAGAATTTCAAGTGCAAGAAGCACTTTCAGAGAGGCAGGTTATGAGTTTAGAAGTATCCACACCTCAAACATTTTACCCAATGATAAAAAGTCTTTCAGTGCTTAAACTTCTCTGAGAAAGTCCTACCTGATTTTGAAGGTCTTCTATTTTTCCATAGTAGTGGCTGTAGTCCTTTGTACCAGTAGGACCTTGCTTCTGGTACCACTCCCTAATTAACTGTTCCAGCTGAGAATTTTCCTTTTCCAAGTTTTTGACTATCTCCAGGTAGGAAGCCAGGCGTTCATTAAGGCACTGCATGGTCAGCTTCTCATCATTGGACAGAATTCCCACATTCCCTCCATGAAAGCCACCACTGCCAAAGCTTCCTCCATAGGCAGCACCAAACCCACTACG